AGGAAAGGAACTTACTAGAAGTTGTCCTCGTTTTGCGCATGTGACAATGGTTGCTGGCTTAAGCCAATGACGATATCAGATCTTGTCAGTACACATATATTATTATTAGCATTAAGAGTCTGTAAAATTGGCAGCATGCACTGAAAGCTTACCAGCAAGATGAGAATGTTTCGAAATGTAGTTTCGAGGAAACAATTAAACCGCAAAGCGCATAGCGCTTACTTTTTGGTAGAGATCTTTTGCTTTACTTTTCTCATTCTTTCCTCTTGCATCGTTAGATTTCGAGGGGAGGAGCAATTTTCAGTCTATGGCTAGGTGGGTGGCTTCTGTTATACTTGAAGATATTCTGATATTATTCTTTTAGAGGACCTCTTTGACGCCACCCAGCCAAGATTTGATGTTGTCTAGACATATCCCTGTCTTTGTCGCCTCATTCTCTTGTGCTGTATACTCGTGGAGCGGGTTGATTCTAGTACATTCTCATCAGGTGGCCGAACCATTTAATTTTTACTGTTCAATGTTCCGTGACCAGCTTCATCCCTGTCAAAACCGCTAGAGATGTGCATGCTCTCTAAATAAATACAATCTATCATTATTCAAGATTGCTTAGTGTGATTTACAGTGCAATGTATTTTTATGTCTATACATACATGTATATTTGTTTCTGTCTTTCCCTTTTTATTTATTTATTTAAGCTTATTTATTTATTCATGCATGTATGCATGAATGGGTGTGTTTGAAATAAACACAATTTCCTCTCAGTTGAGACAGCTGCTGAAGCGATCGTGGGCATTTGAGCCCACAAAATACTAAAATACTTTGGAAGCTGGTGTTTTAGCATAGTCAGAATTTTTTTACGCCCTTCCTAAAAACGGCTAAATACATGTTTATATATAGGCCTATGTATACAGTCGAAATTGTCTGTGACGGCCACCCATTGTCAAAGAGAAAGGTAGCCGTCTTAGACAGGTCTTACACATTGCCGTTATGTTGCTCAAAAAAGTGGGTGGTTGACAGGTGCTCTGGTGTGGTTTGCTTCTTCTTTCCTATCAAACGTCTATAGTTCTTATCTCTTCTCCTTCTTTTTTGTGTTTGTTACTCTCTTGTAACACTTCTAACCTTCGGAACTTATATTACCTTATTGTGTTGCAAGTGCCGTAAAACTCTTACTAAAACTAAAAGAACAAAAAAACTAAGCAAGGGAGGAAATGGAAAGAGGCCGTCTGTACAAGTCATTGTTATAGATGTATAGGTGGCCGATAGAGCAGGTTCGGCCTGTCGAATAGTTCAAGGCACCATCTGTCCTTTTCCGTTTTCGGTGGTCTTTCTTACCCAGCCCGACGTGGCGTCTGCTCGCATCCAGCCACCTACATAGAACTAAAGGGGGGGAACAACACAAGTCTTTTTACAAGGCCCCACCGTCGAGCCCCGGGTGACCGCCTTTGCTTCTTCAAAAGGCGTGTGGCGATTGGGGCGGCGGATAGGCGCCATAGTGGAAACACCGACACAGGATTTTATCGTGGAGAAAAAAAGGATGTTGAATGCACAATAGTAGCTGAATTGTGGGGGGTAAAGTGGGATGAGTCCAAATTTGTTTTTAACTTCTTCCTGGGTCCTTTTACTTTTTTCTCTTTTTTTTACTTCCTATGTCACTGTTTATCTGTCTTTTTCTTTATTTCTGTGTTCCCCTTTTTCATCTTTTCATCCACCTCTTTTTTCTCTCTCTCTCTCTCTCTCTCTCTCTCTCTCTTTCTTTCTCATCCCCAGCCCTTTCCTACCCCACTACCCTTCCCTTAACCAAAACCTGGACTCTCCCTGAACACTGAACTCTTATTAAATGTTTGCATTGTAAGTCATCCCTAATAGGTAAACTTAACTTGAGTCGAATCTGCTCTAACGGCCACATGTATAAGACTATCCCTCTACAAATAGCCACTTAACATCGTGCTTCCTCCCTTTCGTAGTCTTATATTATCATGGCACTGTGTAAGACGGACACCTTTCTAAGACTTTTTAGTTTAAGTAGAGGTTTTACGGCGCTAGCAACTGCATAAGGTCATATGAGCGCCAGAAGATTAGAGGTGTTACATGAGAGTAACAAACATTTAAAAGATAAGGGGACATAAGGACGATAGATGTTTGATAGGAAAGAAGAAGCAAACCACAACAGAGCCACCGTCAACCACCCACAGTCTAAGTAAGACTGCCACTCTTTTCCTCGACAATAGGTGACCGTCTTGGACAGTTTCGACTGTACTTCTGAGAGAGTCAAGTATTAGGGTTCATTGACCTGGAGCGAAAGGTCACAGGTTAAACTATAAGTACCATCCCAAGAGATCGTCTTACCAAACATTTGCCGAAGCCCTTACTTTATCGTTGTAATTACGAAGATATAGCCTGCTGACGTATGGGTCAAATCATATGGTGCATGGTCTTCTCCATCCCTCCTTTGTGGTCCCTCCATATTTCCCTCCCTCTCTCTCTCCCTCCCCTCCCCTTTCTCTCTCTCTCTTTCTTTCTCTCTATCTCTCTCTGTCTTTCTTTCTCTCTCTGTCATCTATGTCTCTTTCTTTCTTTCTCGCCCTCTCCCTCCATCTCCCTCCATCTCTCTGTATCTCTGTCTTTCTT